GAGCATTTTACCGTGGTCGCCATTCACAGTCACCAAACCTAGCACCATCATTAGTTATCTTCTGCACATGACTTGACGGCTTTTGATTTTATGCGGACTACGCTCCAGGCTCACAGGTCTTTGGGATACCCGAAACTCTAAACCGTAAACCCTAAACCTTAAACTCTAAACCCCAAACCCCAAGCCCTAAACCCTAAATCCTAAAGCCTTAAACTCTGAACCCAAGAGTCGAAACCCTAAACCCTAAAGCTTCAACTCTAAACGCTACACCCCAAAACCTAAACCCTAAACCTCAAACTCTAAATCCCAAACCCTCATCCCAAACCCTCAACGCTAAACCTTAAACTCTAAACCCCAAAGCCTAAACCGTGAGCCTTCAACGAGCCTAAGCTCCGATGCTCGAACCACATCGGACCTCGATCCGAAATTTGACATCCGATCCGAAAACCAAAGGGCTGTTTTTTTGCTTCAAAACATGAATTGTAGGGGGGCTTAGGGTTTCTACAGGGCCTTTAATTTTTTTATGGGGCTTCTATGGGGAGTTCCGAAAATAGGGGACCCTAATGTAGTACCCCAAATAGTAGGATCCTTATAAAAAAGGACCCCAACAAAAGGTACGCCATATTTTCGGAAACTCCCATATAGGGTTTAGGGGTTGCTGCTCACAAGTTCTTGCGCGGCCCCGAAGCCCAGCGCGTCTGCCATCTGCTGGATATCTTCCTGCAGCTGGCTCTTGGAGTTCTATAACTGCGTGTAAGCAGCCGGAAGACTTCGTAGAAAGCGTTGAAATTATGGGTTTAGGGCTTAGGGTTTAGGGTAACTGTGTGTAAGCAGCCGGAAGACTTCGTAGAAAGCCTTTAAATTGTGGGTCTCTTTGGCAGACCTAAGGTTCTTGGTTCCACTCCACATGTACACTCACCCCAAGAAGCAACTAATATAGGGGCCTCAATAATTAGAGTGGGGTTCCTTTGAAGGTTTCTATAACACAGGGGCCTCAATATTTAGAATAGGGTTTTGGGGTATATGATACCATCAGTATAATAAGCAACCCCCACAATCGTATTGGTAATAATTTAGGCCCCTATAATACCAGTATGGTCTACCTCGTTATCAGCACGCCACTGTCTCAGTCGACCGAAACCCTAAACCCTAAACCCTAAACTTGCTGCCAGCCCTAAGAAGTCATCCTTAACCTAGGCCAGGAGGTTCTGCCCTTGTAGCAAGCCCTACATCTTAGGGTTCAGGGTTTTCCGGCTTCTTCTTAAGCCCTACATCTGAGGGTTTAGGGCGTAGGGTTTAGGGTTTGGGCTTTTTCTTAAGCCCTAAACCATGCAACTCCACAAACCCTATTAACAGAAACCCTGAAAAAGCTGGTAGAGAACCATCACATAGAACCCTTACCAACGGAAACCCCGAAAGAATCCATTAAAAAGCTCAGATATAGAGAATCCTACAAGCACCAGAAGAAAGTCTTCAAGAAGCCTTGAAGAACCCTTCTACAGATCCCGCATATAGAACCCTGATATAGAATTCGTGCAGAACCCTTAAGAATCAGCATATGGCTTAGATAGAACCCGAAACCCGAAACCCTAAAGCCTAAATCCTAAACCCTGAACCCTGAACCCGAAACTCTAAACCCTAAACCCGAAACTCTAAACCCGAAACCCGAAACTCTAAACCCTAAACCCTAAACCTGAAACTCTAAACCCTAAATCCTAAACCCGAAACCCGAAGCCCCAAACTCTAAACCCGAAACTCTAAACCCTAAATCCTAAACCCTAAACCTGAAACTCTAAACCCTAAACCCGAAACTCTAAACCCTAAATCCTAAACCCTAAACCCGAAACTCTAAACCCGAAACTCGAAACCCGAAACCCGAAACTTTAAAGGAGCCCTGACGCCCTGATTCTTCGAACCCGACACCCAACATCGGCGGAGGGCCCTCCGCCAGTCCCGTGCCAGGAAGCTTCAAGAAAGATACTACTAGGCCCTTGGGTTGGGTCTTTGGGGTATTTAAGGTATTTAGGGTATTTAGGGTATTTAGGGTATTTAGGGTATTTAGGGTTTAGGGCTTAAGGTTTCGGGTCTGGGGTTGCGTGTTTCGGGTTTTGGGTTTTGGGTTTGGGGTTTAGGGTTTCGGGTTTAGGGTTTCGGGTTTAGGATTTCGGGCTTAGGGTTGAGGGTTGCGGCAGCAACGACACAAGCATCCTTCAACACTGCAGCCTGCACCCCCAAAAACCCTAAAACCTAAACCGCACCAGCAAAGGATACACCTCTAAACCCTTAATCCCAATTTGTGAAAACCCAAAGCCCTAATCCCTAAAGTCTAGGCCTCAAAACCCTGAACCCTAAATCCCAGGCCCTCAAAGCCCCTGAACATCCTATGCCCTAAACCTTACACCCTAATCTAAGGGCCTTAATGATTAGAATAGGGCTTTGGGGTCCATTATGCTATAAAAATAATAATAAGGACCCCCCAAAATAGTATGGGTTATTATTATTATGACCTACTATTTTGGGGGTTCCTTATTATGTTTATAGTATTATGGACCCCCATTATTTAGGCCCGTATATTACACCTTCAACTCCGGAAATGGAAGCTGGAGTTTGCTAAACCCTAAACCCTAAACCCTAAACCCCTAAACCCTAAACTCGCTGAGCAGCCCGGACTTTGAGCCATGCACCTCCGATGGGATTCGGAAAATGTTGAGTCGGCTGGGGCGAGTTCAGGGTTCAGGGTTTAGGGCTTGGAGGTTTAGGGTTTAGGGTTTAGGGTTCAGGGTTCAGGGTTTAGGGCTTGGAGGTTTAGGGTTTAGGGTTCAGGGTTTAGGGCAATAGAAATTCGGTGGTTTAGGGTTTCGGGCATTAACGTCTTCGGGGATTGGGGATTGAGGCGGGTATGGGGGGTGTTCGGCTTTCAGGATTCAAGCTTTCCGGGCTTAGCGCATTAGGGCATTAAAGTCTAAAGTTTCTGGCTTTGGGGGTTTGGGGTTCATGGCTTAGGGCATTTTTGCGTTACTGCATTCGGGCCGTGTCCGCATACGTTCACCTGCTGCCTCTTTTTAGGCTTCAGGGTTTAGGGTTTAAGGTTTAAGGTTCAGGGTTTAGGGTTTAGGGTTTATACTTTTCCACCCACGCTGACTCTCTCGCATGGCCTAAGCCTAAAGCCGGAAGCCGTCAACTTTAAATACGACAGCTTCGTGACTGGATGCGTTTGTCGAGACTAGGCCACAAAGTGTAGGGCACGCTGCACGGGGCATATCCTTTGCAAACCCGGAACTACTTATTACATACTATACAGGTGTGTATATCTGTATATATATATATATATACATATATATATATATATATGCATAGCTATACGATGAGAAACCGCCCCATATTCCGAAGTTAGAGCAGCCCGATCTTATCAACAGCTCTCGTTGGTGGTTTGCTTGGTTCTGTCACGTGGAGGTGCGTTGCTGGTTCATAATGACAACGCAACAGTGAAAATGACAGTCCTAAATTTTACTACTAAACCCTAATACTAAAACCTGAACCCAGCTTGCCAGTCCCCTAGAGCCTCTGAGCTGAAGTCTGTCGAATTCTGGCCGTCCGGACAAAACGGTTGAGGTCTCCATCTTGAATCTTAGGCCTGCAGGCTTTGTAGCTCCACATGAACAAGTCCCTAGACCTCGCATCTTTGCAGGGTCCCCCACCTGGAGCTCAAAGGCCATCCACAAGACGTTCAGCAGTAGGATGCCTGCCATGATCATCTCCTCGGAATTTCTTTGGATAAGGTCCAGGGCCCTATGATGTAGGACGCCGACCACGCATGATGTTTCGGCAGGGGGTCCCAAAAAGCTGATCGTGTTTTTGCAGTCGATAAGAGTGTCCCTTATTCTCCGAGACTGTCAGTTTGAGAGAAGGCGTTCACTGAGCAAGGGGTGGAACGCAGGGACAAAGCTCTTCGGTCCTGTGGAACGGTGTTCATTAGTCAGCTGTCAGGGCTTGCGAAATTGGGAAAGAAGCGTTCTTGCCTGCGTTTGCGAGCTTGAGGGGCTTTGTAGACCCAGTAGCTTGACGGGTCAAAGGACTGACTTAATATAAGGGCCTTAATAATTTCAATGGGGTTTGGGGGCCCCTTATACCATAATCATAATAAGGACCCCCCAAAATAGTATAGGTACTTATTTAGGCCACTATACTACAGCCCCTAAACCCTAAACCCTAAATCCTAAACCCTAAACCCTAGACGGCCCAAAACCCCCGAGGCCGGTGTCTCGGGTTTCGAGGATCCGAGATTCTAAGGACTTTAGGAGGGACCCCTAATAGGGTCCCTTAGTCCCATTACCTTAAGTAACCATCGTATAGTCCTTATATACCCCTTATATAGCCAGGTAGTCCCTATATTAACCCCAATAACCTACGAGGGTCCCTCCTAAAGCCCTTAGAGAGATGGTGAACACTTTCCCAATGGAATTCATGCGAGTGCTGTTGTGACCATCGTCTGACGACTCAGTGTGTGGAGCCGGCCGTTCGTTTTGGGTTTTGGGTTTAGGGTTTAGGCTTTAGGGTTTAGGGTTTAGGGTTTAGGGTTTAGGGTTTAGGGTAGTCGTTGCTCGACCTCGTTATGCAGCGGCTGTTGCTAGGAGATTGTTCATGCTTTCGGGTTGCGGTAGCAAGGGTACTGGTCGGAATGGTGGTGGCGTGGTGGTAGTAGCAGAGGCGGCTGTAGCAGTAGCAGTAGAGGCCGTCGTCGGAGTAGTAGCAGTAGTAGCAGTCGTAGTCGTGCACTGGGAGGAGGAGGAGGAGGACTTCTGTGGCATAGTAGAATGGAAGACTTTAGAGTAGACTACAGGACAGTCGATTAGACAGCTATGACAAGCACCATCGTCGTAACCAGCACCCTCATCATGACAATATCAACCACAACGTGCCACCATGGAGGCTATACCGAGCATTGTGGTGATGAGCGCGCTCAACACAGCATTCAACAGTCCCCAAAAATGCCGAGTCTCGTATTTGTTCGACTGAAGCCACTCACGCAACTTTTCGATGATCGACTTCCTGTGGTACTCGGCGGCCAGAACCGATTCGGACTTGGACTCCGCCGAATCACTTTCACTCCTCAGCAGCTTGCTAGAAACGTCGGACTTCGACTTCCCTTTGAAGAACTTCTCAAGGTCTGTCTCATCTTCCTCCGTCGCGTCCCAGACCCCCAGCAGCTCGCTGGCGTGCAGGCTGGGGCCGTGGCCGCCTTGGGATGTACGCCGCTTTCCCTTCGAACCGGGCTGCAGCACAGGAGAGCCCCTGTTAGTAGAGCCCTTGGAGCCTATCGTTCGCACTGTCACGGCAGACCCCACCTCGCAGTGATCATAAGGCTGATTGGCCCTGTCGACTGCCTCACGCCGGAGAGCCTCTACCTCGAGCTCAGCCCGCGAAACCTCGCGCATGTGCTGCTGCACCAGCTGATCGAGCAACTTCTGAAACTCTTCCGACAGGTGCTCGAATGGCTCGCCGGCTGCGATGCCATCGATGCCAACTGGAAAATGCAGGGACGAGGTGTTTGATGCCTCAGGCTGCAAAGCTTTGATTGTAAGTATCGCTGGCACGTCGTCACTGTCGATGTCTGGTTCCCGTGGCTTTACTGTCCTCACATCCTGAGATGCGATGCAGGCACGATGAAAAGGGCTAGGTCTCATACGCTCCAGAAAAGGGCACCGGTCAGGAGAGCAGAACTGGGTGAAATTCCTGTAATGGAGGGGCCTTAAGCATTAAAACAGTGTTTTGGGGGTATATTCTGCCATAAACAAAATAGAGAACCATAGTATATTAAGGCCTCTATAGTCTATAGCCAGGAGCAGTTCGGGCTAAGTGACTTCCGGTCACGACAGCCGAAAACTTTCAGGGTTTAGGGTTTAAGGTTTAGGGTTTAGGGTTTAGTGCTTGCACCAAGTTCCGGCAGTCGCTGGAAACCATGGGTGGAGTCCACTGCGTCAAGCGCACCCTGCGAGAGCATACATTCCTTGTCGTAAATTGACATGACACAGGGATCAACGCCATGGTCGGAATCACTATAATCATCATCATCACAATCAGCACCATCATCATCAGCAGCAGCAGCACCATCATCGTCATCATGCCGTCATGCCTGCGCCTTGCGCAGAGGGTAATGATGTTGATTCTATTTGCTCGTCTCGTGCCCATGGTCTCTGCTTTCAATACTGTTCTGATTGCTACCGTTAACATTACCACCAAATACACTGGTCTGAGCATAGTGCATTGTCTTGCTGGCTGCAGGTGTGGCCAGCAAGGTGTTCAATGCACATGTTGGGCAAAATAATGGCCTTGTGCTGTGAAACTCATACTCACGATTGACCGTGACCGTATTGTGGCCCTTACCACGTTTATGGCCAGCACCATGGTTGCCATCATCGTTGTCAAGTTCCGCTTCCCCCCCCCCCTCCCCTGCCCGTGCTGCTAGTGGTTTCTCGGTGTTCTTGCCCTTATCAGTGCGACCGTCGAGGTTGCCTGTTGCTGCGGTTACTGCTTTTCCTTCGTACATCTTCTTTTCTGTTCCCAACTTCTTTTGAAGGCCTAAAGTTGTTTAGGGTTTAGGGCCTAAAGTTTCATAGCCTACCAGGTTGTGGGCTTCGGGTTAAGGGGTAGGACCTCCAGGCGCTCTGGGTTTAGACTTTGGGGCTCAGGCCTGAGATCCTTGTTGGCAGGAAGTCCTGCGTCAGAGCCTATGATTCCTCGACAATGCCACAGACACATGGAAGTTTCAGAAAGAAAGGGCACCTGAAACGATCCTCACTAGAAGGACCCCTGATAGAAAGCCATATAAGGGGCCTTCACAATTCCAGGAAGGCTCCCATGTAACCGCCCTCCCCCCCCTGTTTGCAAGAACCCCTCCTAAACCCTAAACCCT